TACTTTTGTGCTGCTCTGAAAAGCAGCTGAAGAGTTATTCCCCATCACTCAGGAAAAATAAGATATAAGAGTCAGAAGACATGGACAAAAGCATACACTTGCATTGCCTAAAAGGCTGAAAAGGTTTCGCAGAGCATTCTGTTGCCTTTTCACCTCCAAGTTGCAGCTATAAGTGAGAACCCTACAAATAACTTGAATGACTTGGGAAGTTTAGCTGCATTTTATGTGTTAAACCTAAACTACTTACACAAGGTCATCAAAGCGCTCCTCAGAAGGCTGCTTCTGAAAGCTGATTGGACTTGAAAAAATGTAGATCTGAGAGAAAATGCCCGCAATGATGAAATTGCCTGGCTGGTAATACTTGTGGAGAATAGAAAGAGGGTCACCAACATGACATTTAGCAATAGAAACCGTACTTGAGGCATGAGGCAGAGCCCCTATAGCCATCATCAGTGCCACAAATAACATGACTTGGTCTGAGAGCGTTCCTGCCTTCTTCCACCATATCTGTTCCCTTATTAACATTTAAATACCACTCATTCCAGTGACATAGCTCAGCTGATCTAAAACCAGACCTGTGCAATATCTACCACTAATAATGACAGTAGCATAGCTCTGCCTGTCACTAGCTTCAATTCTTGGTGAGACATGAAGTATTAGTATCTTTAACTGTTGATTTATCCTCCTGTCCCGAGGGAATGTTCATGCACCAGGAAGAGATAGCATTAACCATGGTTATTTCATAATTATGGTCAGATCGGGGAATAATGACCAATTTGACATTTTGAATTTAATAAAAAAAAAAAAATCAGAAGTCAACGTGTTGATGTTTATCACAGCTCAGCTGGTATCTCCCAAATCCTACTTTATGAACTCATGAGAAACACTAAGTGTGTAATTTCCCTTATTAAGGTAAATCCAGAAAAGGAAAAAAAGGGGGAGGGGACATATTTATTTTTTTGTTTCCATTTCCCCTTGTAGGATAAATCTTTACCATTTTGAGTTTGGGACAGTATTCAGTTTGGATATATGGAGCTCAGGTGGACCATATCAGCAGTCTTATTGCAAACATCAAATTAATAATACTGTCTCAAGACATATGAAGGTCTTTGTGTTTAGCTATACTTAAATATATATCTTCTATCAGTGGTTAATTGACACAGGAGTTGTTGGCAATTTCCTCGAGCAACAAAAATGGATATCTGGATTCCCATGACTTCCTACTTAGATGCACAGGATTCATTAAAGGCCCTAACAGACGATGCCATTCAAGAAAGCTGAGTCTGAGGATACCCAATCAATCAAATGAAATCAAATTTATTTATGGTCAATGCCCAGTAATATACATATACATGCACAGCAATATAAATACACAGCAACAATGACCAAAAGCCATAAAAGCAGTGTATTGGCCATATAAAATGCAAAAAATCAAAACTTAAAAAATAAGGGAAAAAATCTAGCTTTTTTTACATATCCAACAAGCATGATAAAATGACCCTTTTTGTTGTTCACATTTCCAACATTAATTTGACATGCCTCTATACATTCTAGACAATTTCTAGACTCCAGGGGCCATGGGTTTTTTGCAACAGAAGTAGGTCATATGTACAAACTAAATCCAGAAAAAAAGGAGTCAGCCATTTTGATCTTCCACCCCTCAGTACTCCAGAACACCAGGGAAGTCCATTATGGTAAGTTCTTCGTTAATCCACTGAGTGTCTAAGAAGTTGAGCAGGTACCACTAGGCCTGTGTATGCCCATACTAATGGGAGGACTGGAGGGAGAAGAAATAAAGTTGTCCTCAGCAGAAAGAGTTTGTGAGGAAAATAAGTTCTTAGAGGCTTCAGATGAATGGAGTGCCTTAATAAAATTGAAGTATAAATGAATGTGCAGCAACCTTGAAGCTGGTTGTAAAGAGTTTTTCCAGCTGGTGTGAACTTGGCTGGTTGTAAAAAGCTTCATCACAAAGTGTTATCACAAACATCCCCATAGCAAACAATGTTTTAAAGGAGGATGTGTTCTTCCTGTCATTTGGCACCTTGAACTAATTTGTTTCTTCTTCTTACTGATGCTATTGTTTTCTTTGTAGATAATAGATAAGACGGGGGATGCAGCGGCGCAGCGGCTTAATGACGCTGAAAGTTGCCGGCCAGAAATGGTCGACGATTCAGAGGTTCGAGTGCAGCCTTCGCGT